GTTGATCAGATCAGAGTCGAAACACTTTTTTTCTTCAGAAAATATAACCTTGATTTGAAACTTGAAAGTATCATTATTTTTGACTGTGCGTTAATGTTGTCAGCCGATTTGGGAGTAGGCCTCGACCAAATATGCTAAAAAAAGAGCATATTATGCTCGTCGCATATCAGGGAAAACGTCCATAATATGCCAAAGGCTTAGCAAGATATTATTTATTATTACAAGTATTATTATTAAGTAGTGGTTGCGACTTCGGCGATGATTTGTAAGAAAGGGTTTGCTCCCCACACCGGAGCTCGCGCTATTCCGCCGACTTTACTTGACACTTGACTGACTCACGACTGCCATCCAGAGCACACGAGAAGTCCATCGAACTTTCGACTCGGCAAACCTGCAAGAAGGCACCACTCCCTGCTCAATACACAGTGTTTCGGGGAATTCACCCCTCATCAGTTAAGCTTGAGTAGGCTGAGGAAGATTGTGCCTGAAGAGCACCACTTATATAGTGCTCTCCAGGCACAAACATCACCAGGGATACAAACTTACAGAGACGTCTAGACGCTCCGTTTCCTGGGTTTCCAGCGCGACAAACACCTCGTGAACACCAGATAGCAGCGTGAGACAGTGTCAAGTGTCAAGTAAAGTCGGCGGAATAGCGCGAGCTCCGGTGTGGGGAGCAAACCCTTTCTTCTTCTTCTTCTTCTTCTTCTTCTTCTTCTTCTTCTTCTTCTTCTTCTTCTTCTTCTTCTTCTTCTTCTTCTTCTTCTTCTTCTTCTTCTTCTTCTTCTTCTTCTTCTTCTTCTTCTTCTTCTTCTTCTTCTTCTTCTTCTTCTTCTTCTTCTTCTTCTTCTTCTTCTTCTTCTTCTTCTTCTTCTTCTTCTTCTTCTTCTTCTTCTTCTTCTTCTTCTTCTTCTTCTTCTTCTTCTTCTTCTTCTTCTTCTTCTTCTTATTATTATTATTATTATTATTATTATTATTAAATTTTGAATAGGGCAGTCCCACAGGCCTAGGGATATGCAAAAAGATATGCCAACATATGCTCGACATAAGCAGAAAGTGTAAATCATTTCAGTAAAATTACAACCTTGGAATATTCATTGGCTTCACGGTTATTATGCTTATGGTGCAAATCAAAACACATGCGGAATAGTATGGCTGGGGTGTGTCCCCAGCAACAGAAGCGATAGTGTTCATCCATGGGGAAATGTAGCAAACGCCTCAACCATTCCAAATTCATCCATAAAAGGCATTTCTGAACGCATTTTGTCCATAATATGAATGTTTTGTCCTCATTTTATTCAGAATATTTGAATTATATGCTGGCTTCATTCCAATATTCCCTTCGTCGCTCAATATACCATAATGAACTGTCTCACAAAATATGCGGAAATATGCGCCAGCATATTTGGTCGAGGCGTATTTGGGAGTATCCCCGCTAAATATGAGCGTGATTAGTTTAATATGCGCCCATTCAGCTGGAACTCGGTTGATTACGATTCAAAAACTAACTAATAATTATTTATTAGGATAGCCGGAGGGCTGACTGTCATTGCCTATCATGGTGTTCGCAATACTTATGCGGGTGGAGGCCAAATATGTGACGATACACGTGGCCGTGTAATTGCGCAAGGCCGCTGTGCATAATTATCTGTGGAAGACACTGAATCAAAAATAGGGGCTAGATTTCAAGGTAAAATACTGTACTAGCATAAAGTTACTATTGTTGTTTTGCTTCGATGCATGTAAGCACTTTCTGTCTCTACTTGGAAGGACCGTTCCCTTCATGGTGGTGGTGTCTGTCTGTATGTTTCATCCAGTCTGAAGGCAACAGTAGTACATGCTAGTAGCCACCCTGAGCTTGAAGCTCTCCACATTTTAGTCCGTCAGGGAAAGGACACAAGAGCTGAGAAGTTTATTGTCAGTTCCGTGTATAAGCCTCCCAGCACTGGAGTGGATTTCTGGGATTGTCTGAGTGCCCAATTGGACAGTCAGCCAGTGCCAAAGAGTAAGCGAATTATCCTGGGAGATTTTAACACGAATGCTATCCCGCCTCACTCTCCTCAACTCAAGTACCTCAACCAACTCTGTGCAGAGCACTGTCTGCACAATATCATCACAGTACCAACACGGCTACCATCGAACACGTGCCTGGACCTGGTTCTACTGGAAGCTGGGCTTTGCCATGAGCAGCCCTCAGTCACTGCCGTGGACGACCTTAGTGACCATCACCTCGTAGTGTTTGACCTCCATCTCCACAGCTGGCACCGCATTCAAAAGCACGCCTATCGCAGTATTAGAAAACCTGGTATTGCCGCAATCGACTTCCGAAAGTTCAAGGAGGACGCCCGAGCACTTCTGGCAGTCAATTACAACGATGCAACTATTCATCTTCAAGCCGAAACTTTCCTGACATCACTAGCTGACCTTACTAACCGTCATGCTCCAGTGCAGCTAGTCAGATACCCAATCTGTCCTAAACCTATACCTCATTCTTGGACAACTGCTGAACTGCAGCAGCTGCACCATACACGGAGGAACTTACACCGACAGCTTCAGCGTAGGCCAGACGACTCAGCTCTTAAACAAAGGTATCGTGCAGCCAGGCGTCAAGGAAAGCGCTTGAACAGACAACTGAAGTCACAGTTTTTAATCAAGAAATTCCAGGATCTAAGGAATGACCCAAGAGGGCAGTGGCGTCTGCTTAACGGCATGACTGGTCGTAGACCCACCCGGAACCAGCCCACTGCATCAATTTCGTCGCTGACTGATACGTTTGCGGCCATTGTTCAAGACACCAACAGGCCTGGGGTTCTACAAATTCCACCTGAAGACAATGAGCAGCTACCTCATCTCACGAATTTCCAACCAGTGACAGTACAACACGTGTCCGATATTCTGAAGTCTCTTAATTTGTGCAAATCACCAGGTCCAGACAACGTGCTACCATCCATACTGAAGAATGGTGGAGATGCTATTGCTGAGTACCTCACGGACATAGTGAACGAGTCCCTCCAAACTGGTAATGTCCCCACCGTCTTTAAGCAAGCTATCATAAGTCCACTTATGAAATCTGGAGACCCTGATCTGGCGGCAAACTACCGCCCAGTTTCGCTGCTGCCTATATGTGCCAAGGTATTAGAAAGAATAGTACTGGACCAGATAACGAAATTCTTCGCAGATAATGGCATTGAACACGTACCAGACTCTCAATTTGCATACCGTCGCAACCACTCTTGCGAAGACTGCTTGGCTCTAGCTGTGAACAGATGGCTTTCTGCATTGGATAGCAACGAATACTGTGGTGTCATCTTCGCTGACATGAGCAAAGCTTTTGACAGAGTGGCACACTCCGCCCTCATCCAGAGTCTACATGACACAGGCATCAGAGATGTTGCCTTGAATTGGTTTTGTAGCTACCTGTCTGACAGAATACAAACTGTGAGAGTTGATCAGGAACTTGGACAGTCACGCCCATGCTCCAGAGGAGTGCCCCAAGGCTCCGTTCTGGGCCCAGTCTTGTTTTGTATCTACATTCGCGACATAACACCATGTTTTAGGTTTAGCCAAGACCAGGAATATGCCGATGATATTGCATTTTATGTCCGGCATAGTGACTGTGATACTGTGTTGGAGCGTCTCACGGCGGACCTTGCTGCTCTGGACAGCTACCTTACAGGGAAGGGACTGGTTCTTAACCCTGATAAGACACAATTTCTGCTACTACGTCGCCCAACTAGTCCCTTACCCACCACTGTGTCCATATCATGCCGCAACTCCACTCTCTATCCTGCGCACACAGCCAAATACCTGGGCCTCATTGTGGATGAGCACTTGGCATTCGATGCTCAAGTAGAGCGAGTTTGCATTGCCGTCAAGCAGAAGGTCGGAGCCTACAAGCATGCCAGGCAGAACCTGAACCACAGAGCGCGTCGTCTTTTCTATCTATCTATTATTCAATCCACCCTTGAGTATGCTAGCTCTGCCTACATTAACTGTCTATCTCACCGTTCATACAACCAGCTGATCACAGCCAGCCGTACTAGTCTTAAAAGAATATTTGCCCTTGACCGCAGAACTCCCACTGAGACCCTGTACGCTTACACCAAGATCTACACACTAGAGCAACGCTTAAATTTCAAGCAATACGTCTTTGTCTTTCGCTGTCTGCATGGTTTATCTAGCCCACTTCTCAGCCTCCTATTCACTCCCCGCTGCACTGGCCCACATTCTTCTGCCACAACTCGGGGCCAAGCTACAGCTGCTCTTGTCTTGCCTGCCTGCCACTCCCGGTATGGTTTCCATTCCATTGCGTATCTTGGTGCCGACAGGTGGAATGCGCTGCCTCCATCTTGTCGCCTGGCCGAGTCGCCTGCTTTGTTTCGCGCTCACACAAAGTCTCATTTAGGGTTCCCAGTAAAAAGGCAACATTGCCTGTTGGGAAATCCCTAACAAAATAAGAAAAAATAATAATAATAATAATAATAATACTGTGTGCAATGTTCAAGTGCATAATTGTGCTACGTGCTAAGAATGATCCCTGGGCGTTCTAAAGTGTGCTCGAGTACCACCATCGTACCGGGGCAGCAGGAGATCAGGGCACAAAAGGCAAGACCAAGCAACCGAATGGACGCCTAGCGTAGATCGTATATTTCGGGTCATACTTATCGGGCGCCGCTCATTGGTACACCGTACTCGACGGGCACAACCGATGGAACATAGAACCTACTATTGGCAAGTACTACAACGACGTGACAACAGGCACGTTGACGCATGCATGAAATAGCCCATATTTAGACATTTTGCTTCGAAAGCAAAGTTGCCATCCGTACACGTACATGTACATGCAGTCATGCACGGCACACAGCTGCCATTTTCAGCAGACAGGCTTCTGTTTGATGACGCCTTGGTGACGCTTGGCTCCGGATGAGGATGTTCAAACAGCTGTGCTCATCAGATGCCTGAGATGGGCGAACTGCTTGATTTGCGCTCAACGTCCTCAAGGAGGGACTTCTTCCTACAATTTGGTATTCTTGGTTGAACAAATCGTTCTAGTTTCGAAAATACAATCGTCTCCCAAGAGCTGCTATCGACAAGTAGTATTTACAGCACGTGGATGGTCACATAGCACTAAAGCCTGGTGTTGCATCACTGACCTCTCCCCTGATCTACAACCGCCTCGCACACTCGTTCATTAGTCAGGTAGGATGGCGATGAGCTGAAGAGCTGGGAGCAATTGTCAGTTTCATTTTGGATATTCTGCTGTGAACTGAAACTGTGCTAGAAGCACTGTCGACAGGACTACGTTCTCACTCATAATCATACTAGTAGTCGAAGTGGCAGCGAATTTTTATTCATGTCCGCAGATGCTTGCTGTCATATGTCTCAATGCTATGCTTATCTTCGGTTCGGAATTACGCTGTGCTACATCATAGGTTCGGATGCCAACGTGTGGCTTGCAAATGTCACTGGTGCGAGCTGTGGTGGGGTTGCTGTGCTGCGCTGTGGTCGCTCTGCTACCAGAATGTGCAGGTGCCCAGACAAGTGCTGGTCATTGTAAGTTACAGCAGCTACAGTCGACCTACCCTTATAACGATAACCTCTATAACGATATTACCCTTATAACGATATTTTTTTGTCCAACCAAATCACTCCATTGACTTTTGTATACAATGCCTTACCCTTATAACAATTATTGCTATATTAACGATATTACCCCTATAACGATATAAAATAGGCTGACCACTCGGCATTTTTCCGTTTTATAACAATATCTAGCAGGGAATATGTAGGCTCCACTATCCAAGTAGGGCAAGTTTCACTTGATAAGTCACTGGGACATGACAAAATGCTATGGGGACACAATTGATGCCTTGCTATGTACATAATGTGCATAGAACATCCATGTACGCAAGTTGTTATGCGCTAAAGAGTGTAAAAAAATGAACAAAAATCATGCATTATGGCGTACATGTATGAAATGAACCAATACCCTTATAACAATATTACCCTTATAACAATATTTCTTGGTCTGACGCAAATATCGTTATAAGGGTAGGTCGACTGTACTATGATGTTGGTCCTGCAGCGGAAATTCATAAAAAAAAGAGTTACATAAGGCCATATTTAGTAATAGTGGTGATAATTCACAAGATCTGCAGAAACGAAAGTAAAGGGTTATTCGGTGTAAATGAAGTTTCACGGTTTGACAACCGATCATGAGATAACATGAAATTATTCAGTACCGTACACTGTGTTTGTTTGTGTGTGTGTACGTGTGTGTGCGCGTGTGTGTAGTGTGTGTGTGTGTGTGTGCGTGCGTGCGTGCGTGTGTGCGTGTGCGTGTGTGTGTGTGTGTGTTTGCACATGTTCATGTTTGCGTGTGTGGTGGTGTGTGTAAGCGGGGAGAGGGCGTGAATATGCCTCTCTGTCTTGTAACCGTGTGGATAACTGCGTGGACAACCGTGTGGATAACCGTGTGGATATCCGCGTGGATAACCATGTGGATGTGTAACTATTTGAATGTATGACAGTTTGGGTAAATGTGCTTGCCCTCATGTGTGTTTTGTGTGTTTCTTTTGTTTGTGTGCATGTGTGTGTGTGCACTCGCGCACGTGTGTGTGTGTGTGTGTGTGTGTATGTGTGTGTGTGGTGTGTGGGTGTGGGTGTATGTGTGTATATGTCTGTGTGTATGTGTGTGCGTGTGTGTGTGTGTCACTGTGTGGACGCATGTGCGTGTGTTTGTGTATGTCTGTGTATGTGCACGTGTGTATGTCTGTGTCTGTTTCCGTGTTCATGCTTGACCCACTTGTTTCGACCCATAGCCCAAATCCAATGTGGATCGGCAATCTACATGACGGGGACGACATCGGATCTCGCCTCCTCCAGAAAAGCCTGCCTGAATGCTAACTCCGTTCTAATGACTGATCTCTACCTGGGCACTCTGTCTGCTCAGGAGCGCGGCTGTGTGTTGAGTCGTTCTAATCCAGTGTGGCTCTTGGACTCTCGAGGGGAGGGTGAGGTGTTCGACCCACGGGTTGGCATTGAGGACTTCATCCAACCAAAAGACGGGCCTTACGATTTTATTTGTTTGCCAAGTAAGTAGAAGAAATGCCCACATCTGTGCTTCCCTTGTACTGGTTATTGCGGATATGAAGAGATTGGTTTCTCGTCAAATTTAGTAACCCTTATCAAAGTAGTTCTGTGAAGGAAGGTTTCTTTGCTGTGGACATCCTCTTTGCGAACCCTGGAAAAAAGAATATCTCAATGATGCCTTGAGACTATCCTCGCCCTCAGAAGTATCCCGCAATGGCCTGGTGTGAAAACGATCTCATAGTGGTGTGTGCCAGCAATTGGCTCACCTAAAAGAGGTCTAGAACATTGTAGCTCAAGGGGTCAAACTGAACGCATGTCATGAATGTGACATTGACCACTTACTAGGCCAATACCCGACCGCATCAATCTCTGGCCTCACTGCAGGCGCGTGCCCCGTATGGGTTCCTGGGTGCCCGGAACCCCCTTTTTTTCGCTCAAAATCGCTCGAAATGCAGGATTTTGCTTCATTTTTTGAAATATTTCCGGGGGAGGCCCCCCCCCGGAACCCCCCTTAAAGGGCACCGGCGCATGCGCCTGCACTGCTAGCGGCGTCGAGCAGTTATCGTCCGGTATTACCCCAGTACTCAGGCAACATCACATGCATGTGTGTCCGTTAATGCACAAAATACATCCTAATCTTTTGAGTCACACTCGGAGTCACCATTGCTCGAATCCTCGAACCTCAATTTCCAAGAGAGGGGGAGAGAGAGAGGGAGAGGGAGGGGAGGGGAGAGGAAGAGAGAGAGAAACAGGTTGATCACAGTCACGAAGCATTTCTTCGTTTGCAGAGGAAGAAGCATTGAACATATTTTCAAGCCCAGATTTAAGCCAGGCACATGTCTAACTTGTCAGAGTGCTCAAACTGACAAGTCAATGAGCGCTGCATTCCTTTAAAATCCGATTTTTTTTAAACAGAGCCTTTAATTATCTAACAGCAGCATGAAACTTTTTTTCATCTGTCTACAGGCAATTACACAAAGTTGATGGCTAGATTGGCACCAGATGTAAATACCACTCGTGAAATACAGTTCTGCAACTCGATGAAGGAGTCTTATGTTTGTGATGGATCTGGGATCATCATTCGCCAGAAGCAGCTCAACCTGTGTCTACCGCGCTGCTCTCCCCAAGCACCCGCCGTGCCATGTAAGTGTTGTGTTTGTCTGCAGACATCCTGATCCACAGCCTACAATTCCCTTTCCAAATTCCCAAGTTTAAATTTCACTCACATGGACTGTCCTCAGGGGGGTGGGGGGGGGGGGGGTAGCACAGGGAAGGGGGGTGGGGGGTGGTAGCTCAGGGGAGGGGGTGGTAGGTCAGAGGAGGGGGGATTGCTCGGGGGGGGGGGGGGGGGAGGGAGGTGGTAGCTCAGTGGGGGGGGGGGGGGGGGATGGAGGATGGTAGCTCAGTGGGGGGGGGGGGGGGGATGGAGGATGGTAGCTCACACATCTGTGGTGTGGTAACCATGTAGTACTACCGGCTAACTCAGAGCACTCATTATGGCAATCAGCAGAGTCAGCGAAGTGGACATTGGACGCTTCGCTGATTCTGCTGATTGCCATCATACAGTTATTGTCTCCGAGCCGCTTATTCATAGCTCTCAGTTCGCCTATTTAGACTATGTAGTACCGATGACAGCCATCTCCTGTTGTGGTGACTGGACCACGGCGACTACACACGAGCTATGCACCTGGTCCTAGCATTCAAGATTTCATTCAGAATTCACTTTCTAATTACACCCCCCCCCCCCCACACACGCACGCACGCACGAACGAACGCACGCACACACACACACACACACACACACACACACACACACACACACACACACACACATATACACACACTCACACACATATACACACACTCATACATACACACACACTCACACACACACACATGCACACACACACACACACACACACACACACACACACACACACACACACACACACACACACACACACACACACACACACACACACACACACACACACACACACACACACACACACACACACACACACACACACACACACACACACACACACACACACACACACACACACACACACACACACACACTGGAACCACACTGACCCTGGTGCTGGCTGTTAGGCACAAACTTGACAGCACATGTGAACAGATTTAATCCGGAACCTATGCATTTCCGCATTGGCTACAAAGAATCTGTGTACTGCTAGTAATGTAGAGCATGCATGCAGCAGGCACTTGTCATACGTAACGCTAACATGGTATACGGTCCATGGGACACTCCTGAAATACTCTGCAGTTTGCCTTCTGTCATAAAATGTCAACAATATACTGCATTGCGTACACGAGCATTGGACAGTTACCGAAACACTTTTTCAGTGGAAATGTGCAATTGTACAAAATAGTGGTAGGGCCTGCGGTGATACACATGACTTTATAGGATAGAGTGTTTGCTTTCTCTCCACACTGGAACTCGCGTTTTGCGCCAAATTGACTTGACACTGGACTGACGCGCGAGTGCCATGCGCGGCCCCGAGAAGGCGAGCGTCCAGTGAAGACGGCGTGAGCTCCAGTGTGGCGAGCAAGCACTCTCCGATAAGTATGCAACCACAAGAAAGTATTTAAACCAGCCGCGAAGCGTCAGTAGTACCTTAGTTGGAGAGCAGTGATCAACAAGACCAACTGAATCGCCATTTCATAACGGCTTTATTGTACATGCATGCGGAAGAACAAACGTGCAGCGAATTTGTCAATACCCCAGGTTGAAACCGATTGTCACCTGTTTGCTTGTGTCCTCCATGTAGCCTCCAGATTCGTTTGCAGTGGATTCAACGTCACGTTAAACATGAGATCATCACCGTTCTCTGTCGCGAATGCCGAATGTTCGACACAGAAAATTAGGCTCTTGAGATACAATGATTTTGCAAAGTTGAACATGACCAGTTGCTTCAGAGTAAGTTGTTGTGACACTGCTTTAGAAGATCAATTGAAAGTATGATTTTAGTGAATTGGAATCCGGGTGTTAACACGTGCATGCATGCGTGTATGAGAATGTGTGTGTGTGAGAGTGTGTGTGTGTGTCCCATAAGGTGCAGTGGCATGTGCAGTCGATTTCCAATCGAGAGGTTGCGGGTTCAATTCCCGACGATTATGGTCGCACACGTCTTTCTTCTCTTTCTCGGACTCTTCCTGACTTTTCTTTCATTCTCCTGGGTGGTTACCAACAGCCAGTGTATGCCGATAGTATGTGGTGTGGTGTGTGTGTAGAAGAAAATGGAAAAATGAAAAATAGGGATTCACTGGCCAGAAAAAGTCACTTCAAACAGCTGTGTGGTGGATACCAGGCTAAACATAGTGGCGGTCAATTCATCAGCCTTGCAAGCTGTTGAATGGTGTAATCCCAGCACAAGTTGCTTTGTCTAACATAGCTGTTCGCTATCATCGCTTCCGCGATGGGCATGTCTGAGGTCTGAGGTGTGTGTGTGTGTGTGTGTGTGTGTGTGTGTGTGCACGCATGAGTGGGTGCGTGATTTCGTGATTGCCTCCACCGCAAGTTGTAACATTTGGAGTAACGTCGATCATAGGTCCTTTCTCTTTCACTCTCTCTCTCTCTCTCTCTCTCTCTCTCTCTCTCTCTCTCTCAGGACTATACTTCTAATGTGTCCTAGTTTCATTTGACGGCTTACTTTAGTGTCATATTATCATTGGAATATTGGAACAAGACAAGCATTGGAAATTGACAATACACCTTGTTCCCAAACGAGGCACATGTACATGATGACGTTTGCAGCTTTCATACCATTCATAGCTTTAATTAACGATACTGCTATCACACAGATGACTTAGATACTTTGGAGAATGTTGGCCAAGCCCAGGCGCGTAGCAGCGCCGTTTGCGGTGGTCGGGCCAGGGGGTCCGGGGGGGGGGGACCTCCCCTTTAATTGTTTTGATATTAGGGTGCAAAATCCTGCATTCTCGGCACTTCTGGCATTGTTTTACTATGGTGGTCGTGGTCGGGCGAAAAAGTGGTCTGGCCGGAGCGGCTGTTACGCCCCTGCAAGCCATATACATCAGTGCTGACATGTCCGCTCAAACGATTGACTTTCAAGCAGGCACATGCGTCAAGAGCAGAACTTGCTCAAACGCTCAAACACAAAACGAGGAGGCTTGAGTTTCGAAGTCTGAAGAAGATGCTGAATGGTCTCTGTTTGGATGACAGCTACACCATAGCTCAGTGGCTAGTTAGAGGATCGCTGGCCTCAAGCGAAGGTCCCTGGTTCGAGTCCTGGTGGTGAAAGTCAATTTTTCTTCAGACTTTTCCCTTTTTTCATTCCCAAAACGTTTTATCAGGATTATTATCTCGTGGTAATTTAGAGACACACTACCCTGGGCCCACTCTCCAGTCACACCCTGCTGTAGTTTCACCTAATATGGCGTGCTGTGGATACGTTGTTTCCGATGCATTCAGGATGAGCTTGCAAAGCTAGGCGAGGCTGGTAAAAGCACGTTCTGGCTGAGATACCCAGGTAACGCGGACTGGCAGCGGGGCAGCTACAACCTGGACACCGGCAGCATGAGCCCAGTGACTAGCCGGACAAAGTCACATGCAGATGCCTTCATCTGTGCCGAGGGTAAGGAGGGGGGTCCGAGAAGGTATTTTAGTGTAGTGCAGTCAGCCATCTGAAGTTACTCTTTACTCGTAGGGGAGGAGGGGTGGCTGAGCCAAAAGGTTTGGAAATTTAGAGCCCAGATTATTGTATTTTATTTTTCATGGCGTACCCGGGGCAAAAGTGGTGCAGTCAATACCGTAGTGACCGTACCGTGTCCGATGCCCAGGATAAGAGTGTATGGATGTAATGTGGCATCTTCTTGCGCCACGCCATCTTCTAGACCGTTTTGCCACGCCGGAATGTTTACGAAAATATGAACTGAATGTTTGGTTTTCATCCACTCGTTCCTCGTGCAGCAAGAAATGACTCTGATGATCTCAACACCGTATGCTGGGGGAAATCATTGGCAAAAGTCCAATTGGGGAACAGACTAGAGCAATTGCTTGTCCCGGTCTTGCATGCACGCACACGTTGTGACTGCATTTGCATTCGGTTAGTACCCACTTTGATAACGATGTTATACGAATCAAATTGACATACCAATGTTGCAGCATTTGGCTCAAATGCAACTCACAATGTGTGATAAAAAAGAATCCGATCATATCCGAAAATGTTCCTCTAGACCAAGGGAATCCAGAATTGGGAAGGTTTGATCTACAGTAAAACCTGTAACTAAAGACCACCGTGACAAGTGACCAGCCTGGTACTACCTTACAGACCACTGCACCAGGCACGGACGGTCTCACATTCACATATGGTCGTGCGGTGCAAACCTCTAACTAAGGGCCACCTGCCACTAAAGACCGCTTTCTCTGGCCGCACAGGGTGGTCGTTAGTCACCGGTTCCACTTTCTATGATGTTTCCACAAAATGGTTCACATAGGAAACCACAGCCTATTGAGTTGCCGTTTTTTGCTAATTATTCTGTGTTTGCATCAGACTGGAATGAGTGCAAAGCATCTACTTCTTGTCCGCCTGATTTCCAATGTGTCAACTTGAAGGGCACTTTTATGTGCAATCGTAAGTTTTCCTAAAGGGAATGGGCTGCGTATTTGGCTTGTATGCTCCAGTCCACGCCAGTGTGTTTTACAATGCTGATTCGAGAGTCTGCACAAGTAGCGCGCACACAGACTTCCAGTATACTCTCAAATCAGACTTTGAATGTACATGCACCAATTCCAGATACTGCTCCTTGGAAAGTCGGGACTTGTCTTGAGTTTGGCAAGTCTATTTCTGTTTCCACGTTCCACTGTGTCTTTGAGAATATAAGGGTTTTCATTACGGTTCCACCAGCTCACATGTGGTGACATGACGGGGCTAGGAGTAAAAATAAATCTCTCAAAAAGCTTGAACCAAATTTCCATTATAAGTTACGAAAAAGTCTAAAGTATTTAAATAACCGACGAGGAGACAACAGTCGTAAAATAGCAATGAAAAATATCAATTGTGCACTCATAACCATGTATATACAGTTAAAATGAAACAATTCCAGAACGTTTTCGTGTGACTATCATCAGTGGAACATCGTCACATAGTAAGGATCACTAAAACAACCAAGTATAATAACGTTAGTAGAGTAATATGAAAAGAAGCGTGAGAATACAGCACAGCTAGCGGTTATGCATAACGCATGCAGTGTGAACCTTTGCAGTGTATCTGAGAATGGTAGCAGTAGATGAATGTGGCAGCTGTGAGTGCGTGTGGACAAAAGTCTAAAGGTCTATACATTTGAAAACACTACAGTATGATAATGTGTGTATTGACACCTCTCACCTCTGTCACACCTGATTTAGGAAACTTTATTCAACTCGGAACTCTAAAAGCGGTCTCTTCACTGTGGTTTCAAATTAAAGTTTACATTTTAAAAACCAACTTTTCGGGCCTGGCCCATCATCAGAGTCACGATCAAAAGTCTACCATACCTGCACTGTTTTATCTTTCATGTCTGTTGTTGCGCTCAACCATGCACATAGGTGACCGTTGCTTGACAAAGGACGTCGATAACGGCATTCTAAATGTCACAGCGCTGTCTGCTGTCGCCAGTGCGGTCTGCGAAGAAGGTTATAGTCCGCATGGGAAAGCTTCTTGCCAAGCTGACGGATGGGTGCATAATGAGACGCTATGTGTGAAGAGTAAGTCGAATTTGTTCTTCTGCATCAGCATTGTGTAGGTTTTAAGTATGACAATTTATGCAATCGGATTACGGGGAGTCCATTGTACAGCAAACTGCCCAAAAGTTGGGTATTGAAGTGTTTGAGATTTCCCTGTACTGGGTGTTTTTGCCATCACAATTCTTTCAATTTTTGTAGTGCCTTGGTCCGTTTTCTTTCCTATAATTTATTTTTTACAAGATACATGTACACAGCTCACCGGCAGTCACGTGGGGCTGGCATGCGGTGAGATGCTGGTGCTGGTAGGGCCTGCCATGCTCAATCGACCAGAGGTCAAGTGTAAACGTGCACTGTGGGCACGATTTGGCCCACAAGTAATTGGTTCATGCATTATTCATTTGGCCTGGGTAGCTACTTGCGCGCCCATGTTTGCAATAGCTACCCAGGCCCCTTATATTGCGTTGCTTTTCTCTTCAATTAGCTCTCTCACTTTCGATTGATATTCTTATGGCGTAATAATATCAGTGAATGCGCCTTAGGTTCTCATGTTCGCTAAGTTTGATGTTGGCATTGTTTCCTATGTTCATCACTTCTTCTCTCATAGATGACGAGAGCAAGGGTATAGGGCAAAAGGTGGAGGTGATCGGCTGGTGGAAGTGGTCGATAACCGGCGTCGGCGTTGTCTTGGTGATGGGGATGATAGCCGCACTAGTCATGTGGAGGGGCAAGAACCGGAACAGTACGACTGTTCGCGCAGGAATACCGACACCGCAAGCGCCGAATGCAGACAGGTACGTGCCACCGCTAGCAAACACTCTCCCAAGGGTGTGCAGTTCTTTGTGCAGGGTAACCAATGGGGAAACTCACCTCCAATGTTCCAAATGGATTTCATACTAAGTATAGTAAAACCTGTAACTAAAGACCACCGTGACTAGCGACCAGCCTGGTACTACAGTAAAACCTGTAACTAAAGACCACCGTGACTAGCAACCAGCCTGGTACTACAGTAAATCCTGTAACTCAAGACCACCGTGACTAGCGACCAGCCTGGTACTACAGTAAAACCTGTAACTAAAGACCACCGTGACTAGCAACCAGCCTGGTACTACAGTAAATCCTGTAACTCAAGACCACCGTGACTAGCGACCAGCCTGGTACTACAGTAAAACCTGTAACTAAAGACCACCGTGACTAGCGACCAGCCTGGTACTACAGTAAAACCTGTAACTAAAGACCACCGTGACTAGCGACCAGCCTGGTACTACAGTAAAACCTGTAACTAAAGACCACCGTGACTAGCGACCAGCCTGGTACTACAGTAAAACCTATAACTAAAGACCACCGTGACTAGCGACCAGCCTGGTACTACAGTAAATCCTGTAACTCAAGACCACCGTGACTAGCGACCAGCCTGGTACTACAGTAAATCCTGTAACTCAAGACAACCGTGACTAGCGACCAGCCTGATACTACAGTAAAACCTGTAACTAAAGACCACCGTGACTAGCGACCAGCCTGGTACAGTGAAACCTGTAACTAAAGACCACCGTGACTAGCGACCAGCCTGGTACTACAGTAAAACCTGTAACTAAAGACCACCGTGACTAGCGACCAGCCTGGTACTACAGTAAAACCTGTAACTAAAGACCACCGTGACTAGCGACCAGCCTGGTACTACAGTAAAACCTATAACTAAAGACCACCGTGACTAGCGACCAGCCTGGTACTACAGTAAATCCTGTAACTAAAGACCACCGTGACTAGCGACCAGCCTGGTACTACAGTAAATCCTGTAACTAAAGACCACCGTGACTAGCGACCAGCCTGGTACTACAGTATAACCTGTAACTAAAGACCACCGTGACTAGCGACCAGCCTGGTACTACAGTAAATCCTGTAACTCAAGACCACCGTGACTAGCGACCAGCCTGGTACTACAGTAAAACCTGTAACTAAAGACCACCGTGACTAGCGACCAGCCTGGTACTACAGTAAAACCTGTAACTAAAGACCACCGTGACTAGCGACCAGCCTGGTACTACAGTAAAACCTGTAACTAAAGACCACCGTGACTAGCGACCAGCCTGGTACTACAGTAAAACCTATAACTAAAGACCACCGTGACTAGCGACCAGCCTGGTACTACAGTAAATCCTGTAACTCAAGACCACCGTGACTAGCGACCAGCCTGGTACTACAGTAAATCCTGTAACTAAAGACCACCGTGACTAGCGACCAGCCTGGTACTACAGTAAAACCTGTAACTAAAGACCACCGTGACTAGCGACCAGCCTGGTACTACAGTAAATCCTGTAACTCAAGACCACCGTGACTAGCGACCAGCCTGGTACTACAGTAAAACCTGTAACTAAAGACCACTGTGACTAGCGACCAGACTGGTACTACAGTAAAACCTGTAACTAAAGACCACCGTGACTAGCAACCAGCCTGGTACTACAGTAAATCCTGTAACTCAAGACCACCGTGACTAGCGACCAGCCTGGTACTACAGTAAAACCTGTAACTAAAGACCACCGTGACTAGCAACCAGCCTGGTACTACAGTAAATCCTGTAACTCAAGACCACCGTGACTAGCGACCAGCCTGGTACTACAGTAAAACCTGTAACTAAAGACCACCGTGACTAGCGACCAGCCTGGTACTACAGTAAATCCTGTAACTCAAGACCACCGTGACTAGCGACCAGCCTGGTACTACAGTAAAACCTGTAACTAAAGACCACCGTGACTAGCGACCAGCCTGGTACTACAGTAAAACCTATAACTAAAGACCACCGTGACTAGCGACCAGCCTGGTACAGTGAAACCTGTAACTAAAGACCACCGTGACTAGCGACCAGCCTGGTACTGTACTAAAGACCACTTCGCCAGGCACGGGCGGTCTCACATTCAGATTATGGTTGTGCGGTGCAAACCTCTAACTAAGGACCACCTGCCACTAAAGACCGTTTTATCTGACCCCAAGGGGTGGTCGTTAGTCACAGGTTTACTGTATAGCTCAGGCCAGCGCAACATCCATGGTTGTTTACTCACCAAGACACGTCTCAAATAACATGCGGCATCAACATCTGTGTCGGATATACAGCAACACATGTGACTAATGACCACCCCTTGGGGGCCAGATAAAGCGGTCTTTAGCGGCAGGTGGTCCTTAGTTAGAGGTTTGCACCGCATAACCATATCTGAATGTGAGACCGTCTGTGCCGGGCGAAGTGGTCTGTACTACCAGGTGGTCTTTAGTTACAGGTTTTACTGCAGTGCACTGTATATTCTTTTGAGAGTCCCTCCCCTGATGATTGCGCAAGGCAAGAAATGAGAGAGGCTCGATGAATTCTAATCCACTGGCCCTTGTTTGCGTGTCTCAACTACGGTTGAGCTCCATGAAATCCAGCCCGACGTACACATTTGGAAGCTTTTTGGAGCCCTCCATTTGCACGGCTGTTTTTTGGGTTTTTTTTCAAAAAACACATACCATTTGACAGCACAAAGCAGCAAGGCAGCGATGAGACATATGGAATGGCAGAAGTGGGGGAGAGGCAGGGGAAGCTTGACCGACCGTAGGGTCTCTGCTTCATTGCAACCAAAGCACTCCACAGAAACAACAGATTACAGAAAATACTCTGTCGCCCTAGGGTGGCATGAATGCAGCTGGACAAGCATATGTACAACTACTTGGTCCGCCCAGTTAAAATTGCCGCTTATCTTCACACTTGTCTCAGGAAAGAAATACGAATATTTGAAGCAAGCCACGATCACAAAGCACTATATACATGATTATTTACATGTCAGTAAGCAACTCAGTCGAAAATTCAAGCAAGTTACACATCCTCCTCGCCACTATCGTCGCTGGAGGAAGAGCTCAAAACGGATGATCCGGACAGCTGCTGCATCGGTCGTTTCATAGCTTGTTCCACTGCTCCTCGTCTCGAATCACACTCAAAGGCAGTGCGTGCCTGTCACCTTCCCATCAGAAGCTGAGTGAGACTGCCCGCATGTTGACTGTAAGTGTTATCCCCGTTCGTCGCAATAATGCGTCTTTGTTTGAGACAAAAAGGCAACGCCATATCAGTGTCCTTTTTCAAATCGCCTCTTGCGCTTGTCGTACTTGCTGATCAGCACCCACGCGAGCGGCTGGTGCTTGTAGATCTACGTGCAGCGCAGTGATAGCTTCCGCTTGATGTAGCACCTGTGCGTACTGCACCTACAACGCCGTGCACCAGGCTTTTCGGCTAGTTTCCTGAAAGTCCTTTGCACGAGTGTTTCTCTCAGGACTTGGTGTTTTCTTTGATTAGCTCCTTTGCCCTGTCCTCTGTGAGCTTCAAAGTGTGTCCACCGGATTGGTCTCACTTACTGGAGATATCGACATGAGCTACAGTTTCTTCGTCAGCGATTTGCTGGTGATATCCCTTCACTAGGCGCTGTACTGTGCAAGCACTGACATTCAAGCTCGCGAAGCGCTTTTTCAGCTTTTTTTTCTCCCTGGGGTAAACAATCCTTGCCATCAGACAGCTGGAAGTAGACAGAAACTGAATTCTTTATCGCTCTGAAATGCGAACATCCTGACCTATTTACGGACTCGAGCGGAGGTTGCAGTGTTTTCTTGCGCTGACGGAAGTGTTCGTCGGCGGCAGCTCCGTCAAAAAGGCTCTAACTAACCGATCGCAACTTCTGTGATGGTTTGTGCTGCCATGTCGTCGGATGCAATGGTCAATGGTTATGTTCGGATGGTGAATCGGTGGTTCCATGCCGTGTGGCACAGGCAGAACACCAAAAAACCAAGTGAGAAGATAAGCGCCAATTTTAACTTGGCGGACCAAGTACAGTGATGTAGTCCCAACTGGTCCAGGGCGCTAGCATTGCACTGTGGGTTGGATTTCTGTGAGCGCATTGTCCTGTTGCCGATTGTGCAGGCATTATCTTAAAAAAAATTCACGGTTCGCGTGAGACTCGGTTTATCTATATAGATGCCGAGTTTTCCGCATCCGTAGGAACGCCACCACCCTTCAAGGATCAAGGCGCAGATGCAGCTCCTAAAGCGGTGGGAGGTGAGTAGATCAGCTCACCAGCATGTGGTCAAAGACCGAAAATCCCATTCACTGCATCCAGGCATTATCTTAGATAAACTGTTATTATACGAGTTGCCTGATGCCATCCTTCTTGTGTATGTGTTTATGCAGCGGTGGAAGAATCTATGACAGTCCGTACATAGATAGCTCTTGCATTGGGTGTGACGAAAATCTCTACAATGAAATCTATCAAAAAAATGACAACCAGCCAAACAACACGAACAGATACCTGGGATTTTCCCGCAACAAGCCTGCTAATACCAATGATGACTGGATGAAGCATGCAAACACGGCCGCAACGCTGGCGGTGAGAGAAGGGGAGTTCGACTTGGCGTTCCAAAGCCGAATGGATGCCGGCGACGCGGGCAGTTTTCTGGGCGTGAACGACGACCACTCCTGCCAGGTGTCCGTGTCAAATTGGAGCCTGGCTGACGTCACTGATGGAGGGCCACAGCTGGACAGCAAACCAGAATCCCTTAGCGATAACAAGAGCTTCGAGAGCCCCCTTCAAGGAGGGAAGAGTGAAGCCAGCTTGCCGGATTGCTTCATCTAGACGAGGTGGTGTCAGGTGATGAGGGTTACTGCCCACTGCACACAAGCAACCATATCCCATAACCGGCCCCTAGCCGGATAGACATGAAGCTAATCATTATAACTATCAGCTTGACCAGAGACATCCTTGCTGCACTGGAGAGCTCCGTCTCCCCCCTTTCCACAGTTGGAATGTGAAAAGTGGACAGCTCTGCGGGCTAGCAGCAGCAAGGGGAACTGGAGTTGTGGCACATTTTTCAGACTCTCGTTTCCTGGGCAACGTCATTCATTATCTGTCACCATACAGGATATGTTCTATGATTCTTAACGGGGGCATCTCATTGTGCTTCTCCAGTTTATGTTGTAGACAGTTGAGCTTTCTGCCTCACGGCATTAACATCACCAGCTGTATGTCACGAACTGATGTTAAACTCTGGTCTCTATTCAAACACCTATCAGGAATGAATATAATTAGTTCGGCTCACTGAAGTCTTTTCCCCCTATCACATCTTATAAATACTTTTTTTGTGCCAAAGTTCAGCTTCCGGAGACGTTGGACTCTGTTTCGATCCTATTGTGCCACTTTCTTTCTTCTCCCATTGGTCTCCTCTTCGTCCCCCATGCCTGAGCAGTAGGTACCGGTCTTTCATACACAGTCAGGCAGTGCAAGTTTCCTAGTGTATGCTGTAGAGTGGCCACCGGTTTGTAATGATTGCTTTTCTTGAAACATTTTCCAACTAAGACGTTGCGCTGCTAGCCATCATGTATCATTTGCCGCACTAACTATGCCCCATCTGTGCTCCGCCGATCTTGCATTCTCTCATCTAGAAACGTGTTTTAAAATTAACGAGAGCAAGTGCCAACATCTCATACATATCCTTATAGTTATTTGGCCCAGCTTTGAGCCGCCCTCGCTCCCTGGTTTGCAAAAATTAGATAGAGGATTCTTTCATAGGCATATTTATACACAAAATAATACTCATTCCAACACCCACACCCACCCACACAAATAGGCATTTACCAAGGGGAAGGAGAAACCGGAGCTTCTCGAAGTTGTAGGCGCGCGCGGCAAGCTCAGAGAACTCATTTCCAGTGGAATAACGCAATAGTTTTTACAGCTGTGTAACCGTACTAACGCATCATGCATGGTGTCTGGGTACGCAAAGTCATAAAATTGGACAACTTCTCAGAAATTCATCGCAAACTATCGGCGACGCAAGAGCATATAGTCGAAAACGAGTGATGCCTATTTGTTTTCTATTGAAACATTATGTCAGATGCACAGAGAGGAAAAGAAAAACCGTTAGGAGAAAGAAAGCGGCATAATGTGATCAAAAACAGCTTAGGCCCTTATCACACTGCGTTCAAAAGTCGCGTTTGCGTCTGCGTTTTCTTCGGTTTTTGACGGTCGCCTAGGAAATGCCATCACGTGACGTTATCGCGAGCGCGTTGGTTTCCAGATGCACAGCTGCAGACGCAGACACAAACCAGGGGGGGGGGGGGTGGTGGTCAACACCGAATCGCGTAAACGCAGATCGGACTTTCTTTATCGCAGCACTCCCTGCATTGTTTTTGAGTGTTTTCAACTGATTGTCAAGTGTGCTTTTCAAATCTTCATTTCCATCTAGTTGCTGAGGCGGGCGAGGGTACTTCTACTACATGTACTGATTGATTGATTTTGGATTCGCGAGGCATGGAGCTGATGCGAGCTTGTGGCTGAGGTTGCGCTGACTAGTTGGCGGTGGCTAGCCTAGCTGGACGATGTGCCTCAACAACGGAACTGCCACCCCAACACAGGCAACGCAATGGCTGCAGTCTTCCCATCGACTCCCATTCCTCCAGCACCACTGACAAAGGACATAGGAGCAGAAACAGAACACTTCTTGATCTCAGGAAAATAAATTCAACATCCACGGCCACCTCGAGATCGATTCCCCACATTTTTGTATTTTCTCACGCGCGCGCACAGATTTTGACGCAAACGCTGAAAATCGCAAGTATGTATAGAATAAACACCGATGTCGTAGTGTTTATGGGAATATAAACACTGCTATAAAAACCAAGGCGTAGCCGAGGTTTTTATAGACAGTGTTTATATTCCCATAAACACAAGACAGAGGTGTTTATTCTATTTATACCTAGCTTCGTTTTTGGCCTGAAATACTGGTCCGAAATAGCTATTTTAGTATCCCAGTATACATGTACTATAGCATACTATTATGTGTAGGTAGCATTGCATTCGAGTCCCTTGTCCCTTGAAATCCCTTGAAGTCCCTTGAAAGTTGAAAAGTTACAACCTCTAAGTGGGTAATATAGCAAAGTATACACCCCAAGTTAAAGTGGTGAATATGGAGATATATTCACCAGTTATAGATCACAGGAATTAGTGGGGGTTGATATGAGCTGGGTATAAAGTATGATATCACGTCTTGCGTTTTCCAGTCTCAAACGCAAACGCAGACGCAAACGCGACTCAAACAAACGCAGTGTGATAACGGCCGTAACGGTTCAGGAAGCTGAAAGAGCAAAGGCGAGGTCTAATGCATAATTGTGGCAAGCATGTTTAACGCAAAAATTGTGGGAAGCATATTACAGAAAGAACGTGATGTACACGAGGCAAAATTTCGCTTCTCAGGCCAGTGTGGGCTCTGATTAGCCAGAGTCGACTTAGGCAAGAAAACAAGGCCGGGAAAGGACCAAAGTATGGTGAGAGTTAGTGTTGCTGATATGTTCGCCTTCAGGCAGCAAACTCACTTGCCCGCAGTGCCCCTTATTCATGGCTCACACATGACGGGTTTACGTGATTCTAGTAAAAAAAGAAAAGAAAAAAAGTGCAGTGCAGAGTAGCAGAAGTGGAAACCCTTGGGAAGAATTGAATAATCTTCTCTATGACAACAGATGATATCGGCTGGCATCTTCTTGCAGGGTACTCGATGAAGAGTCGAGCAACCTTGCACCGCTGAATTCTTCATTTGCCGCTTCCTGGAAAAGCCATCCAGTTTCCACATTTCAACTGTGGATTCGGTGAGGTGGGTGGGAGTGAACTAATGGTCTATAAGCATGTCCCATTGGCCGTCTGTTATGGGCTTTATTATAATATTACCTGAAGCCGAGTGAATATGGGCGAATATTCACTAGTATACAAACCGAGGCGAAGCGGAGGTTTGTATAACTAGTGAATATTCGCCCATATTCACGAGGCTGAAGGTAATATTAGACTTATACCTCTCCATATTCACCCTCTCGTCCCTAAAACCCAACAAACGAGTCCTGTTGGTCATACATGTACATGTACGCAGAACTAGCGTAAGTCGTTGTTGCTTCACTGAGCCTTCAGACCGACTGGCGTGTTCTTGCCTGAATCGGAGGGCGGCGTGTTCAGAATCTTGTTCAATCGATCGTGTACACGTACTGGTGCATGTGGCATGGGAGGTGACGACCTTGGAGAACACGCTCGTGCCAATCACCATGGAGAACACGCTCGTGCAGTTTTGTGGCGGAAGCCAATCGTCAGAGAGGTTTCGTTTCACGCGAAGATTTGACCAATCAGAGAGAGGTTTCGTTTCACGCGAAGATTTGACCAATCAGAGAGAGGTTTCGTTTCACTCGAAGATTTGACCAATCCGCGATCATCACGCCAATTCGGGAGTCGGTTTGTAACAGCGATCCAAGCGGTTCTACCCTCACTTCTATTCTTTTTAGGCAGCGCTTCGGAGCTGTTGTGTGCCCTAGAAAAATTCTACGCTAAAGTCCTTGAACAGGGCTGTCCTGAGTACAAACGAAATTCCTGGCTTGCCGCTTAATCCGCAATCATCGGGCCATTGACATGTTGAGCGTCCAAAACCTTGTTTGCTCGCTGGAACGCTCCGTCTGTGAAGATGCTCACTGTCAGCACCTGGTCACATGCGGATCCAGCGGCAATGGCAAGCAAGGAATTTCATTAATTTCATTTTGTACTCAGAAAAGTCCTGTCTATGGAAGTTAGCGTAGACATTTTCTAGGGCACTCGACAGCTCCGGTGCGCTGACTGAAGAGGAATCGAGCGCAGCACCGAGGACTGCTCTCTTTACAGTACAAATGTAAAGTGGTGAATATAAATGGTGAATATGAGGTAAGTGGTGAATATAAGCGGTGAATATTCAGCAATATTCACCACTTATGTAGATGGCCAATTGTATGTGGGTGAATATGGAGTGAGGTATAAATTATTTATATCTGGTTATTGTCCGGTGTACTGTGTTGGTTTTAGTGGTTGGTTGGATTTATTTGGGGCCGTACAACAAACAGGCATATCTGACTCGTTATAATTATGAAGACGACTTCTGGCAGTAAAACATAAAAAAAGGAAAGAAAAAAAAGATAAGATGAAGAATGTATAGACTGAGCATACAGCTAGCCGGAGACTTTGCTTGAGTGTAGTACTGCGAGGGTTCACTGAGCATGGTGCATCACATGCATGCCTAGTACCAAGTCATGCTTAGCTCACTGCTGCTCCCATTTCGCCTTCTCCTCCGACTAGCGCTAGAGTTGAAATCGCCTTTATCATCCCATCGGCCACCGAGTGAGGCTTTAGGGAAAATCCTGATTATGTATCTGTTGCTGTAGTTTCTGGTGCTACTTTCAGTGTTTTTGAGGGGACGCTTTACATAGACTTCGTTATAGAGGCCGTTGACCTCGCAGTTGGCATAGGGACTATCGTAGATTGACATTCCGCTGCACAAAAACACACAGCATGGATGCCAACAGACAATTTGTGCAATGCAATGAGGCTCGGAAAAGACAGGTCATCCAAAGGTCCAAAGGTGTGTGTGTGTGTGTGTGTGTGTGTGTGTGTGTGTGTGTGTGTGTGTGTGTGTGTGTGTGTGTGCGTGTGTGTCTGGAGCGCCACCGGGTGGCGTGCTCTTTCTCTCTTCTCTGCTGCCCCTCCGGGGCCCACGTGACCCTAGTGGTAGTGGCTCGACAGGACAGGTGTGTGTGTGTGTGTGTGTGTGTGCTTGCATGTATGCGTGTGTGTGTGTGTGTGTGTGTGTTTGCATGTATGCGTGTGTGTGTGTTTGTGTGTGGTATGTGTGTGGTATGTGTGTGGTATGTGTGTGTACACGTATGTCAATGTGTATTGCAGGGTTAGGGTGGGCTAGTAGAGAAGGGTAGATGTATATGGACATGTACATGGGATATGTAGGTGTGCATGTACATGCACCAAAGCAAACTTATCAAAAAGGCATTCTGCGCCTATATGGCGAAATTGAGCATTGAAGCATATGTGTTTTATTTTCTCATTGGCATGTACACAGTTAGTCCATTCAATAACCAAAAATGAGGAAGATTGTAAATCAGGTTCTTGATGAAATACCCGTCCGCTATACATCACAAATCCTGTACAAATTTGACAATTTAGTGAAATTGTCATCGCCTATATCTCAAAAGTTAGCATTGAGACCCCGTTTTTTAACTCGCCATTTGCATACACTACCTAAGAGCAACCGCCCACCAAATTTTCAGAGCAATCGTTAATTTTTTTGAAATAGGCGTGAGCCACCTTAACACGGAGTTTGGTACGTAGTTCCATGTAGCAGAAAAAAATAATTTGGACCATGCCATCACCAAAACATGCTGGAAGCATGGTGTTATCAGAAAAAAGTTTAGGAGTAAAAAACAAATTCTTTAATAACCAGGGAGCCCTACACATACGTATGTGTAGGGCTCCCTGTTAATAACCAAAGACCCTTACAGTAGTGACTTTACTCCCTCGCACCCAGACGCTGATTTCATGAGAAAAAGTTCCTAGTCGAGAGTCCTTTTCTCAGTCTTCTTGTTCGTCCCTTTGAGTGTTGTCTCCATTTCCGTAATGTCAATATAAATAATGTAAAACAAACAAGTCTTGTCCTTTGTGTCCTGCGTCCCGGGGAACGGAATGGCTGAGATTCCGTTACAACGTGGTGCCGAAACCCGGGACGCAGAGGATGAGTTAGTTT